ATTCCAAATTAATTACTTTAAATAAATTTGCAGTATCGTTAAGAGGACAAGTTTTAAAAAAAGAACGTGTAAATTTATGTACAAATACACAAATCAGTTATTGTCTGAATATAAATAAGCCACTTAGACTTTAAAATTTAAAAATTGCCTGATCTATTTATACTTTGCAGATTTCGATAGGTATATAATAAATGCATAAAGTCTAGTAATAACTAATTAACTAATATCACTTAAATTTGCAATCAAGTTTTAAGCAACCTCGTTAATTAATTATTCCGTTTAACTATAATTCAACAGAATGAGGTTAAAATTTAAATAGTTGGTTAATTAATCCAGACCGGCTTCCAGAGAGATAATTGGAAGGCGTTATTTTGCAATTCATAAAGTTGATTTTCCAATTAATTGTGTACATTCTCTCGGAATAAAATTATCTGGTATTATTATGTAATGCACTTGGATTATATCTGCATAAGTAGCGGATGTTCGATTCTGTTCATTTTTAATGAACATGTATTGAACAGAAAGCAATCGCAACAAAGACATTTTGATGCTATTTTCAACTTCTCAAATTCCTATATTTTGAAATTTTTTATTTCTCAAGTTCCCAAATTCTCAAACTCCCAATTTCCCACAATCCTAATTTCCCAATTTCCTAATATCCCAATTTCTCAATTTCCCCATTTCCCAATTTCTTAATTTTCCAATTTCCCAGTTTCTCAATTTCCCAATTTCCCAATTTTTCAATTTCCCACTTTCCCAATTTCCCAATTTCTCAAACTCCCAATTTTCCAATTTCCCTAATTCTTATATTGTAAAATTCTCAAATCCACAAATTCCTATATTTTGAAATTTCTAATTCCTCAAGTTCCCAAATTCTCAAATTTCTATATTTTGAAATTTCTAATTTCTCAAGTTCCCAAATTCTCGAATTCCTACATTCCAAATTTTCATATCTCCAAATTCTAAAATTCCCAAGTCTGCAATTTAAAAAATTCTCAAATCAAATTTTCACAATTACAAATTCTTAAGATCCCAACTATCTAAATTTTCAAATTCACAGGCTTTCTAAACCATATATCAAAAATTCCAAATTGTCCCAAACCAAATTTGTGATCCATAAATTCTGAAACTTCAAAATTGCTATATATCATGTATTGCCATATACAAAAAATTCCCATATGTCCACATGTGTAATCTCACACTTATAAAATCATAAATTAGCAACATCCTACATTCCTACATTCATGTGTTTGAACATAAAAAATGAAAAATTCAAACTTTCAAAAATTTAGTAATTCAAAAATTTTCAACTTCATCCAAAGAACTTTATCCAAAATTACATTCAACACCCAGTAACTAATCAGGAACCAACCGAATTCTGTCCCTGATAGAATTTATCGAAAACACGACGATAAAACTGGGAAATCGTATTAAAAAGAGTCAAGTGTATCCCCCGGCAAGAGTTAACGATCCCAATCTTCGAACAGCGCTCGGAAAGGTATAATACAGGACCGTTCTTCGAAACGGAGACAAAAATCCCGTCTGGACCACTTTTAGCGACTTATCTTTAAAATATACATAGATAAAGCATGTCGTCTGAAACAGGGTAAGCTCTTTGTGCTGGTTCTTCCTCGGAAATGCACGGACAGACGCAACCTCGGTCAAAAGCAGTGGCCGGCGACGACGGTGGCTGCTAAAACCTAAGCTGCTCAGAGAAAGCTGCTTACGATATTCGAAACGAAAGACCGGGTACATCGCGAATTACCTTCCGTTCCTTCTAAAATGACAGTCTGTCAGGCATGTCAGCATTTCATTATCGTAACTTTCGTGGCCTTGGTTGCGTCTAATGGGTTCTACAAAGGAACGAACGCCATGAAATACCATTGTAAGGCGATTGCGAGGATACAATACATTGTCTCGCGATCTTCGTTATTTTTACTGCTTCGTCGTAAATCCCTTGCTGGGATCGTGACTGAATCGAGTACAATTGGGAATAAATCTGATCTAATAGTATTTTCCAGAGTAAAAACGAGATTTCGATCTGATGTGAACTACATGGTAGGAATTGGCGCGTAGGTTGACCAAATTTTCAAAATTACAAACCAATGAAACTTCAGAACACTTCTGTATTCTTATTCAAATTCTCAGTATATTAAAGTTTGATCGAAATTAACAAGAAATATAACAGGGATGAAAATTGACGGGTATGTAATCTGATATGGTTTGTTTGATTCGTGATGAATAGTCACGAATCAATGTATACTTCTCAATGTGGAAAATTGAAAATGAAAAATTTTTTATATTATTACATTACCAAATTTTTAAATTTGGCGTGTTTCAAGTGTTCAAATAAGCAAAGATTTATTTGTTTTCTCACATGATTCATCACTGTATTAGGTAATTTGAATTTCATTTTGTCCAAGTTCGTTCACCCACGTTTTCTCGATTCACTTATTCTATTAAATTCGGTAGGTATTCAGAGACGTATCTTTCTCTCGCCACTTTAATGGTATTTTCACACGGCATACACTTCAGGGTGGGATCGCAATATGATCTCCATGCGAATCTTTCGATTCAGTGAGGCGAAGAACTAAACGGTTCGTGAACAGAAGTGTTTACATCCTCGCAGAATCGTTAATAGTTAAATAATGTAGTAAAATATTTTACAGTACACTCTTGCATCGATTGTTTCGTCTTACGCAAATATACACTTCATTCACTTGCACATTTCATCGTAATCGTAATTATGTGAATGAAAGTATTGACAATGGTGATATCAGAAACGAAATTCCATTCGAAGGTAAATTTAATCGTGGATGACCATCATTCACAAATATTAATTTAACAATAAATTAGACGCTTCTCGCGTAGCCAACCTAGAAATTGGCGCGTTGGAGGTTAACCCAGAACGAAAGAAGTCACTCGGACGGTACTATCCCACCGTGAACACTTTCAACTTGACATATCGGCAAATAAGAATAATGACAATAACTGCATTATGCAATTTGCACTATCTCGCTCAGTCACGAGACGTTTGTTGACTGTCGTTTTTGGCCTAATTGGCGTATGGACCGTTTAAGCTAATAGTAGGTACTACTGCCGAAAATATATGTGGGTCTAAGTGTCCATTTTTCTATTCTGATCAGTTAGGCCCGTATATCTTCCAAACACTTGAGTCAGCCTACGCGACAACTCTTGGGCTGCCTACGGTACACTAGGATATTGCGAAAAATTGTATTCGTTTGTTTTCAATTGTTTATAGCAAAAAGAAAATGCATAGAATTTTGATCGCGATTTAAAAGTGATAATAATTTCTGTATTTGTGTTACCGAAAGCTGGAACGCCGATTTTATTACGATTTCATTTCCTTTACTTTTTTATTTTTATCTTATACTCTATCATGTATATATATATTTAACCGTCGTAAACACCTACAGTCAACAATTCAATAACTTCAATAATATCGTTTCATCCTATTCCGTATTTTACACAATCTACACATAAATGTAATCTTATATTCAGTGATATTAAATACCGCATGATTTTCATTTCTTGGTTATTGACAGTCATCGAATCATTCAACATTCACTCGAATCATTTGGGAGTACTCGAATAAGATTTATCACATTTGAACTGTGAACGAATCAAATTTGTTAAAGTATGAAATGAGGCAAAATTGGAATATTGTAATTCACGAGCTGATGAACATATACAAATATGTCGTCATATTTGTTATATCTCCAAATAGAACAGATCAAAGTGCTCCAAATCCAGATTCGGAAATACTATATATATGGGTTGTTTATACTATTAAACGGAACATTTTAATTGGGAAGGGTGGAACAGTTTATAGATGCGTATATGTTATCCTATTTGGGAATTTATATCTCTAAATGAAATAGATCAAAGTGTTTCAAGTTTAAAATTAAAAATGCTACACATGAGACATCCATAGTATTAAATTTTACAAAATTTTGACCCAGAGGGAAGCATAATTTATTGTTGCTAACAAGTCTACATTTTACTATTTGTGAGCTTATATCTTCGCATTGATTAAACCAAAGTGGACTATTGATGAGATCCAATCTGTAATACTAAATGCCATAACGTTTTGACCCAGACAGAAAGATAGTTTACAATTGATAATAAAAGTTTTACTATTTCTTATTTTATATCAGACGGATTAAACCAAAGTGCTTTAAATTTGGAACTGAAAATGTATATAGGATATTTGTAGTATTAAATGTCGTAACATTTTAACCCGGAGAAAAGGATAGTTTACAGTTAATAATAAATGTTTTCCTATTTCTTACCTTCTATCTTCGCATTGATTAAAGTGATTCAAATTCGAAACCAAATGTGCTAAACATATTATCCCATTTATACTATTAAATCTAACACTTCAACCAAAAATGTTCACGCAATCGGCGTGAAAGCTTCACAACCACCCTCTTCCCTATTACTCTGAAGCATCCTTTACTTAGCCTCACAAACGCAAAAAATAGAACAATCAATAAAGAAAGTTAAGTTCTAATATAATTTCAAAGTTCAATCTCGAAGCAGCTGCAAAATATTGATTCGATTTTACAAATGAAAAGCCATTAAGCGAAAACTTTCTCGGATTTCCATTCAATACTTTTCGATCTCTCGAAATTGTTGCTTTTTATAGCATCTGATAAGCTCAGAACTTCAAAAATACAAATAACGATTTTCCTCCGGAATTCTGTTTTAACTATTCGATCAATATCACTCGAATCGTCCAATTTTGATTAATTCATTATTCAAGGAGAAGTTTTCGCTGAAATTTCTGGAGCGCTGTCTCCACGGGATCAGAGACGCAGTTTCGCCCAATTGAATTTGCTTTAACCGAACGTGTCAGCGTGTTACGTTTCATTGATCCCTATCGGTGCCAGTGACAAATCACGGCACGTTCGATAATTATTACATATACGTATACTTTATGTTTGGCCATTGATTAATGACGTCACGATAAATTGCAGTTCACCCGATGGTTCAAGTACCGAACCAGCTAGTCGGTGCACCAACTGGAACCAACGTTACGCTGGTTTGCCTCGTGGAAGCATCCCCAAAGGCCATTAATTATTGGACACGCGAATCAGGTAAGATTCAATTAACTGTTGCAGCGTTAGTTTATTTTATTGGGACTCGTACCAGAAAAAAAATCAGCGTACATTTTTTCGATACGAAATATCGAAGCGTGCCACTGTAAAGGTTAAATCGACAGATTCTTTTTCTTTCACTGAAATTATTTCGGTAGACGTATCGACAAGTATACAAATTTTATCCCAATTTGCAAAGTGTACAATTTTTGTCGTTCTGTTTATTTAATTTTCATGGAAGGTTGAAACTTAATTGGAAACAATTTCTTGATAAATTTAAGATAATTGCTTGTTTTTGAAGGAATGAAGCATTTAAGATAATTGCAATTTCTTTTATATTTGGACAGTGTAAAGTTGTAATTAAATTTACTCCGACGAGTAAAATTTCTACTTTCGGATAAAATAATTTACATTTGTGAATGGAAAAATGAAAATTATATCTATAATCTCCTATTAAATTATATCTATGTTTTTGTGTTAAATTATAGTTATGTTTTAAATTAAATTAAAAGGCTAACTTTGCCATTACACTTTGGTTAGTTTAAACAATCAAGATAAAATTATCAAGACAATTATCAAAACTCGATTATTGATCAGAACTGGTTTTAGCACCAAGGATATTTATGTCACCGTTACTCGAACTCGGATCATCTCAGAATGTTAAGCTGGGTTTAGAACGCTCATGCAATTTGCACAAACGGACTTGTGCAAGCGATTTTGCACAAGTCGATCGTTACGAGTAGAATTTGAAGTTGGCAGAAATCACAAAGTTTGAGTCGAGTGAATTCCGTCAGATAATTTGCATGAAATTGATGCAAATAACTGAGCTAAACGGATGTAAAACGTGACGCATTTTGATGTATCATAATATAAATTATAATTAAATATAAATTTTGTAGTGTTCGAGAAAAAACCACTTTTTAATTTTGTTAGCTTCAATTTCAAGTTCGTAATAATTGAGTCAAGTTATATATTTGATAGAGTCAAAAAAAAATTAGAAGTATGAAGCAGTCAGATATAGAAAATAATTAGAAGAATGAAACAGTTAGAAATAAAAATAAAAAATCTGTGTTATTTTTTATGTGTATAAGAAATTCTATATTACTGTGTTTTCAACTATTTTTCAAGTATGATGCACATACAAAGTGCAAATGCATTAATTTTTTTAAATTATATATTCATTTTTATGTGGACTCATTTAGTGAAACATTGTACATATGTATGTGTATTATATGTCAGTAAATTCAGTATTAATATTTTGTATGTAACAATAAATCCAAACTCCTTTAAAGTTAAAATCATAAAATTTATCTTAAAACTTATTTTGTCTGACTTTGACTACCAGTCTTACTCTTCTGTAAATATTACACAAATTCAATATAAGAAATGTAAGCGTTTCATACACTACGTCAGTATTATAAAATAAAATTAGCATACCTAAATAAAAGTCCTTACTGGTTAATAAAATCATCCTTTGCAAATTTTTATTTCACTTAACTTCTTAACAAAAGTACCTGCAAATTCTGTCCAATTAAACCTTGCACTTTCAAAATTCCTGAAAATTGAACAGGCAGAACGAGGAAAATTTAGCAGAGTACATTATACACTTTACAGAGTAAAAACCGCATAGCAATATACTAAAAGCACTTTCCTTGCATAAGTCAGCTCTACAAAGTTGCAATAATTCAAAAGGGTTCTATGAGCCGGTATTATGGATTAAAGAATCTTGCATTGCTTTTAGCACGCTCTTGCGAGATACAGAGTCATAAAAGGTAGTTAAAAAACGGCGGCTAACAAAATGACTATATGTTACACATTGTTCGATTACAAGTTACTTAGATTTATTGAATAATGAAAAATAGAACGAGTGTTTCTTTGTATGTGTTATTTGTCGATTCCAGTTACAGTTATGATATGTATAATACATCTCTTCGTATAGTTATTATGGATTTTTTCGTCCACGTGTTACTTTCATCTTCAAGTGCATTCTCCAAAACAGAAGTATCTATGAACTGTACGTAATTTATAGAAATTAAGTGTAGGAACTTGTAGAGATAAAACGCTCTAACAAGTGATTGGTTTAAGAATAGTTTAACTACTCCGCAGTTTAACTGCGGAATCGCTTCAAACCTTGTCACAGCTGCTTGGACTTGTCTAACACTGTCATAAAACGTTCCTTTTATATCTAATTCCACTTTTGCAAAGAGGAAGTAATCACATGGAGATAAGTCAGTCGAATTTGGAGGATGTTAGAGCAGACTTGTTTATTCGCCAAAAATTCACGAACAGCGACAGTTCACATGGTGCGTTATCATGCAACAGAAACCAACTTCCCGGCACTCGATATTCGGGCCTCATACGAACGATCCTCTTCAACAAATGTTCCATAACACTCAGATAATTTTCGCCATTAACATTTTGTCCCTGTGGAACGAATTCCCGAAGTATAATTCCTTTAGAATCGCAAAAGCGTATTAACATTGTCTTGTCTTGGGACTTCTGGAATCGCAATTTTTTGATTTTGGAGAGCCTGGATTTCCACGTAGCACTTTAGCGCTTTGTTCAAGGTTCATACTTGAAGCACCAAGTCTCATCATTAGTTACAATTGATTCCAGGAATGTACAGTTCGTCTGGCTGTTTTGATAAGATCCTCGCAATATTCAACGCGAGCAATTTGTTGCGCTTGCCCGTGATTTTGTGACACGGTGATGAAAGGCTCAGTGGCATTAAACGCTATAAGTTTACAATTCGTTGCTCGATTCCAATAATGTATTAAACGTTATAGGTTTACAATTCGTTGCTCGATTCCAATAATGATCGTTATGTTTTGTAGGGCAGGTATACTTTTCAGATAACATGTTTTAACAGATGGAACTAGTAGTTTTGCTCAACTTTAAAAAGTTCCGTTACTTGCCCGACTAAGGAAAGTGCTTTTCCAAAATACTGTGTATTTTGATTAAAAAAAGTTGACATTCACTGGAATTTTAAATAATCCCAAAAATATTTATATTTGCAGGTGAAATGATAATCAGCAACAGCAAGTATTCGATGTCAGAAGTGAAAACATCAGTATACAGCGTCCAAATGCGTTTGGTGATCATGAATCTCCAGAAACAAGATCTCGGTGGTTACAAGTGCATCTCAAAGAACTCGATCGGCGATGCAGAAGGCAACATTCGACTTTACGGTGAGTTTTCATGGATAATGCGTTTATAAGGATCGCGAAGTTCGTAACTTTCAGACTTCGTCCTTGCTTCTCTTTACCTTCTGCCTGTCGCAACGAATGTTCTTTCGCGACTGCTGTAAAAATATGACATGGCCCAACGGAAACGTATCGTTTTCAGGGTGAAAGTTTCGCCAGAAACATACGGGTATAAAGAAAATTTATTTAGTGTTTTTGTGAAACGAATTTAAAAAATTGGTTTTGCGTGTTGGAAAAACTAGAAGGAATTTTTCTGGAGAAATTTTCAATTTCAAATTTTTTATTTGATTCGTAAATTTTTAAGTTCGAATTTGTAAATTTATAAATTTCCAGAATTCTCCAAATTTTGCGTTATTCAATTTTAGAAATTACCAAATTTTCAAATTTCCATATTCTCAAAAAGTTTAAATCCCAAAACCCATAAATTAAGAAATTTCCAAACTCTAAAATTCCTAAATTCCTAAATTCCTGAATTCCTGAATTCCTGAATTCCCACATTCCTAAATTCCTAAATTCCTAAAGTCCTAAATTCCTAAATTCCTAAATCCAAAATTCCTACATTCTTAAATTCCTAAATTCCTGAATTCCTAAATTCTCAAATTCTCAAATTCCTAAATTCCCAAATTCCTAAATTCCTAAATTCCTAAAGTCCTAAATTCCTAAATTCCTAAATTCCTAAAGTCCTAAATTCCTAAATTCCTAAATTCCTAAAGTCCTAAATTCCTAAATTCCTAAATTCCTAAAGAATTCCCAAATTCCTAAATTCCCACATTCCTAAATTCCTAAATTCCTAAATTCTTAAATTCCTAAATTCCTAAATTCCTAAAGTCCTAAATTCCTAAATTCCTAAATTCCTAAAGTCCTAAATTCCTAAATTCCTAAATTCCTAAAGTCCTAAATTCCTAAATTCCTAAAGTATTCCCAAATTCCTAAATTCCCAAATTCCTAAATTCCTAAATTCCTAAAGTCCTAAATTCCTAAATTCCTAAATTCCTAAAGTCCTAAATTCCTAAATTCCTAAATTCCTAAAGTCCTAAATTCCTAAATTCCTAAATTCCTAAAGTCCTAAATTCCTAAATTCCTAAATTCCTAAAGTCCTAAATCAAATTCCAAAACTCCTAAATTCCTAAATTCCTAAATTCCTAAATTCCTAAATTCCTAAATTCCTAAATTCCTAAATTCCTAAATTCCTAAATTCCTAAATTCCTAAATTCCTAAATTCCTACATTCCTAAATTCCTAGATTCCTAAATTCCTTTTCTAAATTGGAAATCTTCAAATTTCTAAATTTTAAAATTCCATAATTCTGCATTTTCTAAATTTCTAAATTTCTAAATTTCTAAATTTCTCAAATTTCCAAATTTCGTAATTCTCATGTTTCCAAATTCACTGCCTTTTATTTCTGTAACACGACTGTTCCATAAATAACAAACACCGTGACATCAAAGATATCCCAAAAAAGGAAAACAAAATTTGCAAATGTCGATTGCGTGAAAAAGTGTGTGAAAGCTTAAAATTTCAATTTTATGATTTCATTGTTATTCGTTTTAATTTTAATGCATTTATGCAATCTTCCTACTGTTGTTACCTGCGATAACAGGAGCAAAAATATACAGTTTTACGAAACAAAGTACACTACGCTATACCTGCTATGAAAAAACAAATCGACAACTCGTGATATATGTAAAATTTTTACATACATACATATATGTGGATATAAAACGTCACACATTTAAATTTAAATTGTTGATTTTTTTAACATTTCAATGCATCCTATTGTCAGTTTACAAGACAGCTGCATTCTTTTTAATTCACTACTGCAATACATACATATAGCTTTGTTTAAATGAAGGATTATTGAAAACTGAAAATTTTGAAATGTATTTTTTTTGTACGTTTTTTGTTGATTTTTAACACGTTGTGATAATTTTTTTATTTATTCTTATAATTAAATTTAATTGAATTTTACTACATTTCACTGCATTGAACTAAATTTAATTAAATTTGAGTAAATTTGACTAAGTATAACTATATTAACTAAATTTGACTAAATATAACTATACTAACTAAATTTGACTAAATTTAACTAAATTTAACTGTAGATTTAATTTCACAGTATGTTTAACTACATTTAACTAAATTAAATTAAATTGAACTGAATTTAACTAAATATAAGTAAATTCAACTAAATTTAACTAAATTTAATTAACTGTAACACTAGATATAACATAACACTGTATTTAACTGTATTTAAATATAACACTATATTTAATACTATATTTAACACTAAAACTACTAAAACGGTTATATGACCGCTCTACAAGTATCGAATTATAAATAACACAATTATTTATTTCTCGCGAAATCTACGTTGATTTCCATCGCGATGTCGAATTAATATCATATGTGCACAATTTTATGTTTAATCGCTCGTTTACTTATTTTTCAACTTCATTTTTAATTTCAAACGAAGTGTACATACGCCGGTGGATTTAGTGTAAAAAGATGTAGTAACTTAACTGTTCAAAATATTTTTTGAAACTGTTAGTAACTCAAATATTTTGAATATTTTTAACAAGTTTAAAAGTGCAGTAACAACTGTTAAGAAATGTGCCATTTTCAACCTGAACTGCTTATAACCGAATATTCTGTTGATACATAAAGCTGACATCATCCCTAATCGCTAGACAAAATACAAACCTTACAAATACAATACTTGTCCTCGACTACTAAACGCACCTGTTCAGTAAGGTTTCGGTCTTCGCAAGGTGAGCACGTACGCACGTGACTCCCAGTAAATGAGTTCGCGTTGTACATCACCAGTGTTACAATAATAGCTTACAATTTCTATATCATTAAACATTAACCGTGCAGTATAATCTATAGTGTACATCGGCAAATACTGACAAAATATCTGTGAACGTCTTATACCGACTTATTTGTGGACTTCGTGTTTTAAGAATTGGAATTCGTGGCTGGTACACGTGGTTAGTGCAGTGCATTCGTGCAGTTCGAAGTTCGGTTAGGTTAAGTTAACCGCACTGAATTAGGTTCATTTAGTAAAATGAGGACAGGCAATAATCAGCAAATTCGAATAATTTTGAGGTAAGATTCTATTTATGATATATTCATTTTGTGGCGGAGGATAATGGTATAGATAATATGATCTCATTACATTGCAAATTTGCAAAATTCATGACTTTGCAATATTCATTTTCATGACTTTCATGTGTATTGGCAATATTATGTTATTGTACTAAGAATCAAAAATAAAGAATGAAGATAAGAATAAAGATAACCGAGCATTATATTACTACACGTTATTGTATTAGAATGTGTATCATGACGTATTAAGCAACCAAGTGTTAAATTATTACGTGTAATACCATCTCACGTTACATTAGAACGAGTAAAGCTACTGCATGTAGAATTATCACGCATTATACCGAGACGCGTCAAATTTCCGCGTTGCATTACTGTATTAGATTACCACGAGTGGAACTATTACGCGTTGTATTGTTGCGTATCAAGTTACCATGCATTGTGTTGTCACGTATCAAATTATCACGCGTGGTATTGCCACGCATTATATTAAGTCGTGTCAAATTACCACGAGTAGAGTCATCACGTATCAATTACCACGAATTATATTACTACGTATCGAATTGCCACGAGTGGAATTATCTCGCGTTGTATTGTTGCGTATCAAGTTACCGTGCGTTGTGTTATCACGTATCAAATTACCACGCGTGGTATTGCCACGCATTATATTAAGTCGTATCAAATTACCACGAGTAGAGTCATCACGTATCAAATTCCCACGCGTTATATTACTACGTATCGAATTGCCACGAGTGGAACTATCTCGCGTTGTATTGCTGCGTATCAAGTTACCACGCGTTGTGTTGTCACGTATCAAATTACCACGCGTGGTATTGCCACGCATTATATTAAGTCGTATCAAATTACCACGAGTAGAGTCATCACGTATCAAATTCCCACGCGTTGTATTACTACGTATCAAATTACCACGAGTGGAACTATTTTGCGTTGTATTGCTGCGTATCAAGTTACCACGCGTTGTGTTGTCACGTATCAAATTACCACGCGTGGTATTGCCACGCATTATATTAAGTCGTATCAAATTACCACGAGTAGAGTCATCACGTATCAAATTCCCACGCGTTGTATTACTACGTATCGAATTGCCACGAGTAGAACTATCTTGCGTTGTATAGCTGCGTATCAAGTTACCACGCGTTGTGTTGTCACGCATTATATCAAGTCGTATCAAATTACCACGCGTTGCCTTGGTACGTATCAAATTACCACGAGTAGAATCATCATGTATCAAATTACCGTGCGTTATATTACTACGTATCAAATTACCACGAGTGGAACTATCACGCGTTGTATTTCTGCGTATCAAGTTATCATGCGTTGTGTTGTCACGCATCAAATTACCACGAGTGGAACTATCTCACATTGTATTGTGTCAAATTACCAAGCATTGTATTGTTACATATCAAATTACAAATTATATTAAGACGTCTCAAATTTAGTAATTTGTTGTATTACTACGTGTCAAATTACCAAACGTTGTGTCGCTGCATATCAAATTACCAAGCGTAGAATCATGGCGTGTTGTATTGCTGCATATCAAATTTTATTAAAAACTAGTCTACTAGTCAATTACTATAAAAAGAAACAATTGATCAATTACTCGAAAGTAACAAACACGGTACTAATTAAATGTTAATTTAATTATTTATTAAAATTATAAAATTAAAAGTCTGACAATAAAGTTAATGAAAATATAATCTCTTAAGCAAAATGTACGTTCACTTAATATAAATAGAAAATCTTGCTGTATATTTTTTCTCTTTTAATGGATCAATTAATCGGTTAAATTTTCGTTTCGCAATTTTTAATTCACAACGTTATCCGACACATTTCCAAGAGAGAAAAATGATTAATTACAGGAAG